CCTGTACCCCAGCTTCTCGTCCTCCCGTACTCCGCTCGCCTCCCAGAACGCTAGCTCGACGAAGGTGAAAGATAAACAACATGGTATAAATATTCTCCAGCGCGTTGACAGGGCGACAGAAAACTAAAACTCCAGCTCTCGTTTAGATTTCCAGAGCTGATGATGGGCGTGCGAGGTATTGCGTGGGCTGTGTCCGTGGGCGTGTTGGTCCTCCTAGCTCGAGTGGAGGGTCACGGGCGCATGAATTTTCCAGCTGGAAGGTCCACCGCCTGGAGACACGGCTTCGACTCGCCCATCAACTATAACGACGACGAACTCAACTGCGGGGGGCTGGGGGTAAGGAATCTGACATTACTACTTGGCTTGTTTTTTTATCCTGTGTTTCGATTGTCTTCTTTATTTGTGTCCTTTGTCTATGTTTTTATTGTTGTTGTATTCACTGTTTTTTTAGTTATTTTATTGGAATTGTTTCGTTGAGTTACATGCATTATTTCTATTATTTCTGTTTGTGTGTATAATTTGTTTCCTTGTGTTGTCACTGACAGAGTGCGATGATTTTATTCGTTATAGAGTAGTTGATACTTGGAAAAAACTTTACTTATTTTACTTTAAAAATACTCTTTCACTTTTATGAATATACTTTTATGATGTTCCAATATAATTTTCTTCTTTTTCAATGATGTATGCTATTGTTGATTTTGTTTCTCTCCAGTAGTAATCTCTTCAACAAATTAAAACATATCCACTAACAAGAAGATAAATAAACTATTCGAAAGGTTTCTTAAAATGATTCCATGCGTTACACGACCGAACACAATTATTGCAAGAGACTCAAACTAAATAGCAAAAGAGACACTAAGAACTGCCTGAGACAGAATAGGATGAAGAATATTGGCTAATAAAACCCACAAGGCGAAGCGCGAACACACACGAAGCCGCGTCAATCAAGAATCCGAGCGCTAAATATCGCACCAAGGCAAACCAAACCAGAAAAGAAAACCCAACTACCGTAAACCCAACGCATCCTCCTTCATCTATCAGATCTCTAACATACCCTCCCTAGCACATCCTTTCTAACAAATCCTCATTCTTTTGCCAGACCCAATACGAGCAGAATGGCGGCAAGTGCGGAGTCTGCGGCGACAACTGGGCCGACCCTCAGCCGCGTGCGAACGAGGCTGGAGGAAAGTACGGGACGGGGCTCATCGTCGCGAACTTCACCAAGAACCAGGTAATGAGGAGGACGAGGGAGCGATTCCTATGGGTTGTGTTGGAAATGAAGAGTTAGGGTTAATGTAAAGGAGATATGGAGTCGTAGCGTTTAATGGAGCTTAGTAGTAATTGTGCTTATATTACTTTAATAAGAGTAATAGAGGTAGCGGTAGAATTTGGTTAGCGATAATAGTAATGAGACAAATAGCATTGTAAATATGTTATAATGAGGTAGAACGAAATTTCACGGGTTATTTACATTCTCATGTACTACAAAATGGCCGCTGAAAGCAATGGAGTTACAATATATTTACGAGATTCACTTGCGAGGTTTTCTCTGTTACTGTGTCCCTGCCCTGCTCTCGAATCAACCATCCTCCTCACCAATAAGGGCATAAACATCCATCAAAAAGTACATAAATATCCACCAAAAAGGACATAGACATCCATGCAACAAAAGGCATAAAATATCCATCCCAAAAGGAGACATACATAACCCCCTAAAAAAAACATAGATATCCATCCTAAAAGGAATAATTATCCATCCAAGAAAGGACTTAAATCCACAATAAAAAGGTGTTTAATATGCTTCGTATTCGAAAAAAAAACTGTCTATAAAAAGAGAAAAGAAGAGGAAGAAGAAGAAAAAACACTAGTTCTGTACTCCTCTCCTTCCTCACATTCTCAGGAAGTGGACGTCGAGATCGAACTGACGACGACCCACCAAGGCTACTTCGAGCTGCGTCTCTGCGTCAACAACGACCCGACTCAGATCATCACCGACGCCTGCCTGGACGAGCACCTCCTCGAACTGGCCGACGGATCAGGCACCAAGTATCCTATTGCAACGGAGAATGTGAGTTAGAAGGACAAGGGGTGCGTGTGTGTGTTTGAGGAGGGTCCTGGGTGTATGTTTGTGTTTGAGGCGCGTGTGTGTGCTTTTGATGATCCTGTGTGCGTTCGAAGGGTGCGTGTGTGTGTGTTTGAGGACCCTGTGTGTACGTGTGAGATCCCTTTGGGTCTGTGGTTTCTGTGTATTTGTTTGAGATCGTGTGTGTGTGCTATTGAGGATCATGTATGTACCATTGAGGTCACGTGTGCACCTTTGAAATCCCTTTGTGTATGATTTTGACGATCCTTTGCGTGTGTTTGAGCTCGCTTGCATGTGCGTGCGGTTGATGACCCTGTATGTTCATTTGAGGTCGCGTGTGTGCGTTTGAGATATTTGTTTATGGATTTAAAGTCCTGTACGTACGTTTGAAATTGCTTGTCTCTGCGTTTAAGATCCTGTGTGTACATTTGAAACTTCTTGTGTGTGCTTTTAAGATCGCCTGTGTGCATATTTGAGGTCCTATGTTTGTATACATGATATCGCCTTTATAACCTGTATGATATTGTCCTTCCCTTCTAAATATTCAGTACTGATGGATATAGAAGATCTATTTTCTTTATAATATGACTGTTGTTGATTGACTGAAATATCACTAAAGGAAGAAATGAAAGGATGTAGTGCGAATCAAGTGTTGCAAGATGATTCCAGATGACCTCCTGTACAACATCCTACATATTAAACTTGATTTTTCAAGATACGGATACCAATGTCGGGTCACCCACAAGTTTGATGAAAAATACACCATTACGTTCAATTTCGGAAAATGAGAATTGGCAACTCAACCCGGCCCCTGGAATACCCCGATTCTGCAAGTCGGTTTTTTATTCTAAACATCATACTCTTATTACTTGTGCTTACATATGTTTGTAAATGGAAAACTTATATACAATATTTCTATCTATTTATCTGTTCATTTGTTCACTTTAATTGAAATTCCCTGCCTTTAACACCACATCACTATGCTTTCCTGGTGAATCGGAGATCTCCAGAGCCTGGGGCGAGTTGCAAGATTTCCCATTTTCTTTAACTGGACGGTATATGAACCCCGTTTTCTTTTCGAAGGACTGGATTTTCGTGACGGCGAGGGTGAAGCTCCCTCAAGACGTCGTGTGCACTCAGTGTGTGCTTCAGTGGCACTACAGGGGAGGTAAGTCGTGAAAATACGCTATCATTGCGAGAAAATGCGTTATCACAAAAATGTGTTATCACATTATCATTATAAAAGCACCAGGAACACACATGCACCCCCCAAAAAAAAACAAAAAAAAAACGCAAAAACACACACACATACACACAATCACATATATATGTATGTATTACACTATCATTAAACATATTATTAATCATCCCTTAATCTGCCACCTCCATTTTAACATCAAACATCAACCGAAATCCACATCTGATCCGACGTCTCCCCCCCCCCTACCAAGGAAACAACTGGGGCGAATGCGGAGACGGCACCGAGGGCATGGGCTGCGGCGACCAAGAGATCTTCCGGGCGTGCGCTGACGTCGGCATCTATTAGTAACATACCTGTTTTCACCTGACTGTTATTGTGAAGTCATACCAACTTGTTTTTCTTCTTTTTTTTTTTGCAATTAGTTAATGGGTATGTATGATATCCAGTACGATTGATTAATAAAGGAGAATACAGTCTCAGGAATTTTGTCTAGCATTTAATTTCAATCTATACCTATTATCTGATTAGAATCTCGGAGTACAGTAGCATGTAAAATATTGTAAGTAAAGCGAGTGGCAAGAAAAGACAAACGCTCACACATACATACAAGTACACAGGCACATACGCACATAGACACACGTACATATGTATATGCATATTGGAATAAACGCACACATACGTATGTATATCTATCTATCTATCCATCAATGTATCTATCTATCTATCTATCTCTCTATCTATAAACATACATTGTGCATGTGTATATCACGCAGCTACTTTCTGTTCCAAAGGCTATTATCATTGGCAATGCAACTATGATTATCATTACAATAATGATAATGATGTTAATGGCAAGGATATCTGTAATCATAAAAAAATAGCAATTCTGATATTGATAAGAATCAAAATGAATCTAATCATCCAATAGCAATTCTGATATTGATAAGAATCTACTATCATCCAAACAGTAATAATAACAATAGTAGTAATATTATTATCATCACTTTTATAATCATTATTCGTATTCTTAATAATAAGAGTAAAAATGAAAACTACAATAACACAGTAGCAACTTAATTATGTTTTTAAGTGACTATGAGAAATATGTATTCACAGACCGCCCTCCTGTATTAAGTGTGATATCTATGTACAGAAGATATTGTTAACACGAAGTGTGGGGGAAGTGGTTTAACCTGTACTGACAATCATGTCACAGATAAACCCTAGGGTTGACCACTCAAAATTGTAAAGTTAGCACAACATAACTTTCAGAAACAAAAGTGTTTTAAATAAAATACGGAATCCTTCTCGTTGTAATATTGTTCCTTTATACTGTTGACATCCACTGGAAAATTGTTGTTTGATGATTTTGACATCATTCCAAATGGTGCCTGTAAATCAAGTCGTCATATCTGTTAAAAAATCCAACAGAAATGAATTGTTCAGATATATGATATATCATTACTGCAAATGAAGAGAAAGAAGTTATGTAGTAAGCTTAAACCACATCATTCCTCATAACATATTTGCATATAATTTAATCCTTGAACTCAGACCTCTTTACATAGTATCTTTGGATTTGTCAGTACTTCATGGATACAGAAGTATGGGCTTACCAATGTATTTTTTGGATGGGGTGGGGGTAAGGCAGGGAGGACTTCTCATGTCTGTTATTGGGGATACTGGTTTCTTACTTACTATTTATTCCGTATCTGATACGTAAAGGACATTTGGTGAACAGAAGCAATACCGTGGTTAGTATGCCCCTGTTTCTTGTATCTGGCTAATAACATTTACCTATAGATACATAGCTGATGGATAAGGAGGGGGGAGCGGCGCTTTTCCGACAATATATGCAGAAATACATGAGGATATTCTATCAGGAGTGATACTGTATAACAACTGGTAGCGCTACACACTGTTTTTTTAGGCTAGTGGCAGATCAAACACAAATTCAACCAGGTAAATGACATCATTATTTTTTAAATATACGTCACGGTCGTTTTTATTACCACCACCACTACTACTACTGCTACTGCTACTACTACTACTACTATTCTTCTTATTATTATTTCTATTATTATTATTATTATTATTATTATTATTATTATTATTATCATCATTATTATTATTAACATTAACATTATTAATATTAACATTAACATTAACGTTAACGTTAACGTTGTGTTAACATTAACATTAGCATTATTAACATTAACATTAACATTATTAACATTAACATTATTAACATTAACATTATTAACATTAACATTAACATTATTAACCTTAACATTATTAACAGTAACATTAACATTATTGACATTAACATTATTAACATTAACATTAACATTATTAACATTAACATTAACATTATTAACATAAACATTATTAACATTAACATTAACATTATTAACAATAACATTATTAACATTAACATTAACATTATTAACATTAACATTATTAACATTTACATTAACAATAACATTATTAACATTAATAATTATTAACATTAACATTATTATCAACATTAACATTAACATTATTAACATTAACATTATTAACATTAACATTAACATTAACATTATTAACATTAACATTAACATTAACATTATTAACATTAACATTATTAACATTTACGTTAACAATAACATTATTAACATTAACATTAACATTATTAACATTAACATTAACATTATTAACATTAACATTAACATTATTAACATTTACGTTAACAATAACATTATTAACATTAACATTAACATTATTAACATTAACATTATTAACATTAACATTATTAACATTAACATTATTAACATTAACATTATTAACATTAACATTATTAACATTAACATTATTAACATTAACATTAACATTATTAACATTAATATTAACATTAACATTATTAACATTAACATTAACATTAATATTATTAACATTACTAACATTAACATTATTAACATTAATATTATTAACATTAATATTATTAACATTACTAACATTAACATTATTAACATTAATATTATTAACATTAACATTAACATTATTAACATTACTAACATTAACATGATTAACATTAATATTATTAACATTAACATTATTAACATTAACATTAACATTATTAACATTAACATTAACATTATTAACATTAACATTATTAACATTAACATTAACATTATTAACATTATTAACATTAACATTAATATTATTAACATTAACATTATTAACATTAACATTAACATTATTTACATTAACATTAACATTATTAACATTACTAACATTAACATTATTAACATTAATATTATTAACATTAACATTAACATTATTAACATTACTAACATTAACATTATTAACATTAATATTATTAACATTAACATTAACATTAACATTATTAACATTAACATTAACATTATTAACATTAACATTATTAACATTACTAACATTAACATTATTAACATTAATATTATTAACATTAACATTAACATTACTAACATTAACATTATTAACATTAATATTATTAACATTAACATTATTAACATTAACATTAACATTAACATTATCATTAGTATTAGTAATATAATTACTATTACAATTATGTTGATATCATTATAATCTTCGTTATGGATATGTCTCACAGCCAATGATATTTTTGACTGGTTGCACTGTCTTACCCAACAACACTAGCATAGTTCCCCATTCGGCGATCTTTGTACCTCCATTTGATAGATAGATAGATAGATTTATGGGCACCTGTTTGACCCTCTGCATCTTCTATATATCCGTGTACTTGTTTATTATTATTATCATTATTATTATTATTGTTCTTGTTGTTGTTCTTGTTGTTATGATAATAATAATAACTATTATTATTATAAATGTCCTTATCATTATCATTATTATCATTTTCATTATACTAATTATCTTCTTTCTTATTACTATCATTATTCTATTATCATTATCATTATCATTGTTATTATCATTATCTTTATCATTATATCTATCATTATTATTATTATCATTATTATCATTATCATTATTATTATTATTGTTATTATTATCATTAATATTATTATTATCATCACAATTATCATTATTTTTGGTATTATAATTATGATAATTGAAATAATAATAATAATGATAATAATAATAGTAATAATAACAATAAAAAAAACTGTTGTTATTATTGCTATTATTATTATCATTGTTATTATTATTGTCATTTTTATCATTAATATCATTATTCTTAGTTTTATGATAATTATCATTATTATTATTATTATCATTATTATTATTATTATTATTATTATTATTATTATTATTATTATTATTATTATTATTATTATTATTATTATTATTATTATTATCATTATCATTATTATCATTATTATCATTATCATTATTATTATTGTTGTTTCCTTATCATGACTATTATTACTATTACTATTGCTATTATTATTATTATCATCACCGTCATTATCACTATTATTAATGTTATATCTTAACTATCCTAACTTTTCATGAGCTGACTTATACCTTATATTTTCTTTTACAATATGATGACGAAATGACTGACTGGAAAAAAAAATATTACAAAGGCTAGTCGCGCTGAAAAAAATTAATAAATGAAAAAGAAAAAAAATATATCGCCTGTCAAAAACATTTTTGGTTTTGTCAAATGTTTGATAGCAGCTCAGAAACTGTAGCGATATTCGTAACATTTGATTATATCTAACAGTCAAACACATATAGTCAATTAGTCTTTTCAAGTGTAACAAACTATTGCGAGTTCGTCAAAAAAATATATATGAGTTACTGCTCTCACTCTGTGCATTTTCTATGAGGACATGAAAAATATATTTTCTTTCTTTTATAAGAGGGTAGACTACTGATTTAAAAAAAAATCTCTCGGAAACCAAACTCCATTAACTTTGAATATTTACATTGCAATAATAAGGATATAAAAAAAGAATTGGGGAAACCAGTCCGCGACAGCATTTTCTTTCATATTTAACCTTGGTCATGTTGTACATCTAAGCTTATAAATTTCCAGTTTTTTATTTTTTTTTATTTTAGCGTGAATGACAAGCTGCCAGATTTTATGCCTGACATTTTTGGATTATCTACATCCTTATATTCTGGGATGATTTCTTTTGGTATTAAACTGTTAGACTATTACTATGTGTAGTTATTGAGAAAAAAACAATGTATGTCCATATATAAGTCAGTGAAAATAGTATATGTCGGGAGTGTGAGTTTGGAAGACTAGACTAAAGTTATCACAGGTAACATTATTGTATTTTCGAGTCACACTTGTATTCTGTTATAATCGCAGTTTATCATGCGTTGCACAGTGTTGAATGCAAAGAACCAGATATAGCTCAATTGAAGATTCAGGAAGGCTAGGAATTGTAAACCTAGAGAACGAGACACTTCAAGACAGCACTAGTAGTCAAGGCAGTTACTCTACGCACGTTCCAAACACGGGGTGAC